CCCGCGTCGGGGCTCGCGGTGGCTGAAGGCGACGCGCTGGTCCCGCAGCCCCGAGCCCTGGAAGCCCGAACGTGAGAGAAACAAAAGGTATTTGCTGACGTGGGCGTTGGACAGAGACGCCCGAGGGCTGGGGACACAATTAAAGGGGCAACGCACCGATTGCAGGCGCAGCCCAGCGGCTTCCTCCGCCTGCTCGCCCTGCGCTCGGGGCTGCTCGCCTCTTCCCACACCCACATGCTGCCCGGGAGGGGATGTGGTGCCCTAGATGCTTCCTTCTCACACCTTTATGTATAGCAGGGGCCTTGATGACCCAAATCCTTCTTTAAACCGCCCGCAGCTTCCTCAAGAAGCGATGTAACATTTTTTTTTTTCTGTTCGTATCTATTATCTTCTAAAAAAAAAAAAGTCTGAAATCCTGGTACCTGAACCTCTCACCTTCTCTCACGCAAACTTTGGTAATTTTTCTCCTTCCTCTTCTTGCCACCAGAGTGTTTTCTGTGCTCTTGACACCGCAGTTATTTCTCATAAATATGTGTTTTCCCATAGGAGCCATTCTGCCTTACCCGTATCCTTTGTGTCCTTTTTAGCCTTCCCTTCCATAAACTTAAGACATTCCATCTTCAAACCATTTACGTTCCTTTCCCCACTATAGCAAAATGGGAAAGACGTCTAAAGATACTCTTTGCTCTGATAGTTAGAGACATTCTCCCAGTACATCATATACATTTATTCATACACAATTCATGTCCATTTATGTCGTAACAGTATTTTTTACCAGGTTAATTCCCCCTTTTTAATAAACTTCCATAGTTTTGTAGATTCCGTCTGCTTTGAAATGCAAGCCACGCTTTTAAAATCTTTCATGAGACCCATTCTGCTTGCGTAAGATTCCACTCCGTACCTGACCAGCTTAAATTAATCATTCTTGAACATGAAAGCAATTGGAATTTACACAGTATTTCGCATGACTCTTTTCAGTCCACTGGGCAATGGTGTTAATTATCAACTGAAAACATTTCAATCTGATGTACCTACAATGGACCAGCCTTTTCCAGCCATGTCACGTTGCCAGTCTGGTAGTCATCCTCTGATCACTGTCACCTGCAAATTTTATGTAATTTATCTGGCTTTTACATGGAAGTCTAAGGAGCGTTTTAGCAGAACTGATTCCAAGGTCAGCCCAGAGGACCAGCAGCATCTTTGTCCTCGTCATTCCCCGTTCAGGGTAACACAACATGACCCTAGTACCCAGCTTCTCACAGCTCTTACCTGCAAGTGTCGAGTGCTGCACCTGGGGAGGTCAAACCCCATGCACCAGTACAGGCTGGGGGCTGACCTGCTGGGAAGCAGCTCTGCTGAGAGGGACCTGGGAGTCCTGGTAGACGACAAGCTGACCATGAGCCAGCAGGGTGCCCTTGTTGCCAAGAAGGCCAACGGTATCCTGTGGTGTATTAAGAGGAGTGTGGTCAGCAGGGCGAGGGAGGTTCTCCTCTCCCTCTACTCTGCCCTGGTGAGACCCCACCTGGAATACTGTGTCAAGTTCTGGGCTCCCCAGTTCAAGAAAGATGAGGAACTCCTAGAAAGAGTCCAGAGGAGGGCAACTAGGATGATAAAGGGACTGGAGCACCTCCCCTACGAGGAAAGGCTGAGAGAGTTGGGCTTGTTCAGCCTGAAGAAGAGAAGACTGAGAGGGGACCTTATCAACACATACAAATATCTTAAGGGCGGAAGTCATGAGGATGGAAGCAGTCTGTTTGCAGTGGTGTCCAGCGACAGGACTAGGGGCAATGGGTGCAAACTGAAACATAAGAGGTTTCAGTTGAATATGAGGAAAAACTTCTTTACTCTAAGGGTGACAGAGCACTGGAACAGGCTGCCCAGGGAGGTTGTGGAGTCTCCTTCTCTGGAGATATTCAAGGCCCGCCTGGATGAAGTCCTGTGTAGAATGCTCTAGGAGAGAAAACTTCTTTACTCTAAGGGTCACAGAGCACTGGAACAGGCTGCCCAGGGAGGTTGTGGAGTCTCCTTCTCTGGAGATATTCAAGGCCCGCCTGGATGAAGTCCTGTGTAGAATGCTCTAGGAGAGCCTGCTTTAGCAGGGGGGTTGGACTAGATGATCTCCCAAGATCCCTTCCAACCCTTGCGATTCTGTGATTCTGTGTAACTGATGGCGCACCCCAGCACATTGAATACTGTGTGCAGCCCCGATCACTCATTTCCCAGAGTGTATCCAGGAGCCTGTAATGGTTCAGAGCAGGGAAAAGGGAAACGATAAAAGTCTGGCCCAGCTTTGTACAAATGTCTGTAGAGCGAGAGATGGCCAAACTGGGAAAGAAATGAAGCAGGTGAGATAAATGGAGATCTATAAAATCATGAGAGGATCAACAGGGACTGTTAGGTGCTTATTCCAGCAGAAGGGGAAGCAAATGAAGCGAGTAGGTGGCAGTGGCACAGCGAACCAGAGGATGTGGTTCTAACCCTCGTTAGGCACTGGAACCGCTTGCCATAGGTGGATGTGAAACATTTGTGTTTCAGGGCTGGACTAGACGTGGCCATGAGAGAGGCTGGAGAGCCACATACAGAAATGTCCTGTGCCTTCAGAATTCCCCAAGTCACAAACTGTAGGAGACTGGAAGAGTATTCAGGTAAAAATAGCGCTTGGCGTGTCCTGCCATAGAGCAACCGATTTTGACTCAAAAGTTGCAAGTTGGGGAATTTCATAGAATGTAGTTCATTTTGTTTATTGCCAACATGAACTTTCAACTCCTGATTCTGGTATTGAGAAATAAAGATGACAAATGATCACTTAAATTGTTTAATACCAACCAGAAAAATTATTTGTGGTATTAGGTTTTAACACTGCTTGAATTCAGTCCTCTCAAGTTTGATTTTGCCTGTCAATTCAACTGAGTAGCACCTCTTTTTATATAACATTCTACACATTTTTTCAGCTCCATACCCCAATTACTTCATCTGCTGAGAAATTACTTTTGAAAAGAACTATTTGTAGGTATTTGCTCTGTTTGACTTAGCTGACTTTTCAGGTAATCGGTACTTTCACTTGTATAGCAGAGCACGCTCTGCTCGTTAGTTTGTATCAATATTAATAGGACATCAATGGTTCTCCATCTGCTAGGAACAGGTAATAGAATTCAAAAAGTAGAAAAAAAATGCAGTGGTATCTAGAGTAGCTTAATTAGAATTTTTAAAGATGTCGCAAGTGCTTTAATCAGGATACTTCAGAAACCTTGCCCAGGAGTCTGCTCGCTGCAGCTAGGAACAGCCGTGGAACAGACTTTGGTTTTGTCACACCCAGGGATTGATTTCATCCTGGTTTGCACAACAATACATCACAAAAAATCCGCTGATTCTAGAAATATATTTACTTGTTTAATGTAGTCCTTTGTTCTGTAATTTGTAAATTTGAGAGTTACTGTTTCTAGCCAAGAATCTTCCACTTGAAGTCAAGATATTGTTTGGAGAGTTTATCCAATGGGAATAAACTTGGCAACTATGTGGAGTAGGTGCTTCTCACCGCAACAGGAGTGTTGCAAAGCAAGACTAATAGCCTGCTTTTCAGGGAACAATTTACTTTAAAAAAATGACATTGTTAGGGCCAATACAAATATTATTAATACAAATTTTGCATTGTTGTATTTGGGGTTTGGTAACCAAATATAATTAACAGAACACCAGTCAAAAGATTTCAGTTTTCCTTAAAATGTATGTTTCTGAAAAATCACAGACTTCAGTTTTGGTATATTTTCTGACTTTAAATATATAGTGATATTTCTTGCCAAGGAACACTCAAGAGGATATACTAGAACAACTGAATTACCAGAGTTCAAGGACTGACATGCATTGATTCACAAGATTAATTTGTTGGAGTTGCAATGGATTTTTCCTAAATGTGTGGGTAAAATAATACTCATTTACCAAGGGTTTTATTTTAAATTTTGAAAATATAAGTAAAATTGCATATAACCTTGGGCTAATTTCTTTCCTTTTTCTACCCGTGAAGAAATAGCTGCAATTTTTTTCCACTGGATCAGAAATGCACCAGACTTGGGGAATTAATTAGTTGCCTTTTTTTTGGTGTTGGATCTAAAAATGCTTTTAATGAGAAAATGTATGCTTTTAAAATAATGTTATACCTCTTAAAGGAAAAGTAATTTTCGGAGAACATTTCGTTTGTTTAAAAGCTTTTGAGAAACTTTGTGTGACATAAATATATATATGTTCTGCAAGAACAGACCATATCCCCATCGCAATGAAAGAGGTTTTTAAGTTACACAGGCATGGTCTGGAAATGGAGGAATAAGCAAGACGCCAGAAATGAATTAAGAATGAGTTTACAATTTTCATCTAATATGCTGCCAGCTTACACTTGGCTTTAGGTCATTTGCCTCGGCATCATCTTTATTGTCATCAGCTTTCCCCGTGACAAAGCCAGCACGCTCAACCACGATTTCTGCAGTTCAGTTCTCTTCATGAAGACCCCGAGCTGCATCGTCATCTTCTAGGACAAATACAAATGCTTGTTCAGCCGCCAGGTCACCAGGAGATCACTCCATTTTTGAAAAGGACAAGGAAATCATAATACACTGTCCTAAAACATTGAGTACAGGGAGAAATCTTCTGTCTGCCAGTATGCCTAACTGTAATGGAGCCAGCCATCTTCTAAACATCTCAGCATAACTTGTCAGTAGCTTCGTCTATACTAGGAACCCAAATTCCTAATTCTGTACCAATAGAATTAAATTAGATACTCGTTAGGCATATTCTTTTCTTCAACCCAGCTTCCCTTAACACCTAATATTGTGGCATATTTGCATACAGCTCATCTATGTTGATGACTTAGACCTTGATCCGAACAATTCATTGTCCTGGAATCATTAGCAAGCTCTTTGATGACGTCCCATCTCCCTTGACTGCCCCGCACTCCTGCTTTCCTTCTCCCACAGCGAGTCCTTTTCACCAACGGTGGCAACAACCCGTAGCCCTTCCAGCCAAGGAGACGAGAGCGGGGACGAGTGCTTCAGTGCCCCACGTCTTTCATGTCAAAAATGAAAAAATGTGTACTTACTGTGAGATTAGTATTTATTGAATGTTTTCCATTCTTTAACTATAAAAGAACGGCTACATACAATGATATAAACATATAGTACATACACAATATAACATACAATAAAGACAAATTCAGTAAAGCACCACTGTAGAAAAAAATGTTACAAAAAGCACTTAAAAGATTTGATCCCCGCCCCTTAAAAAGGGTAAATTGCCTGTGTGGTGGTGATGCACATTAACTCTCAACTTTGGTTCAATTTGGTTTTCTCTCTTCCACCCCGGTACACGCACGCAGACATCTCAACATCAGACGGGTGCGCTCGCAGATCCGGCAGCTTGCACTAAAACAGGAGTGCAACTTCTCTATGACCAATCTGCAGAAAACATCCTGTTACTAAATCTGGAAAGGTCTGATGGGATCACGCTGCTCCCCGGACTGTGCTCTGAAGCATCTGTGAACGCTGCAAAGCTATCTTTTGTAAAATCCTCTGAAGACACGCGATTCAGAACTTTATGCAATCTTTTTCCCCACATAGAACTATCGATCCCAAATACCTGTGGAAGCAGAGCACTGGATATCAATCCCTTCTTTCGCTCCATAGCACTCTTCTTTCTCATCAAAATAATCTGCTTAACGTTGGATACTGTTCCTTTTTTTAAAAAAATATGTACCCTTATTTTGCTTGTACTGGAGCACTTTTTAAAAAGTCGTTATCTGCTATGTTTAAAAGTTCAGTAAAAAACAAAAAAAAGAGTTAAACCAGTAAAAAATGCAAAAGAAGATGGACATTCAGAGACAGCTGGGGTGACTGAATTTCACATACCTCAGATTCTGATGGCGCAAATGAAAATGTTATTGTACCAATTAGTATTTTAGGACAATTTACTTTTGATTGAACCACTCCACTGATCTGTCCGGAGACACTGCATTAACTGGCAACATTCGCCCACTGGCTTTCCAAAGTGAAAAGAAAATCTTCCTTCCCTGCCTCAACAAACACACAGCATCATGGTTACTAGTACAGCGCTGTTACTGTACTGGCTTTCACTTGGACAGATCCTGGAATGGGCTCGGAGGTTTACAATGGTCCTTGAATCTACCCATTAATCCATCTGCACAATGGTATCACAAATAAACGGGTCCTAAAATCAGGGCATCTCCCTGAAGTGTTAACTCTCGTTTAGTTCGGTGAGAATTCTAGTTTTCAGTTGCTTAGAGTAGGAGAAAAGAATCCTCCAAGTCTCCTGAGGTATTACATTTTTTTTTGTGATCTAGAAACAGCTGTTACAGCTACCAATAGCTATTATTTACCAACAAAAGATATCTTCCTTGTATTAGAAACACAAACTACTATAAGAAAACAATTTCAAAGCAAGCTTCCTATTTTTGTTTGAGTAACACACACCAGTGTGGGTCAGAGCTCACATACTGTAGTTATTAACAACCAAACAAGACAGAATTTGAAAAATCAGTAGCAGAGTCATTGGCTCTAAAATGAAATTAGTGTTCACATAATTCCCTTCCAAACCAAAAAGAAGCCAGCAGCTAAAAATGAAAATAAGCCTTGCCACTGAAGAACTTTAAGAATTTCCAAGAGCTGATTTGGTTTCTAATTCTGCAAAACTGTTACTGCATGCATAAATTTTAACCCTTGTAACTTGTGATCGGTGGGACCGACCATGTGTGTCTAAGCCTTCATAAGACTTAGCTGGTTATGCTGAAAGCGTGTAAGGAGTAGAGAGTCATGTATTTTGACAGTTAAAATATTTTGCATCTCAATTGGTAGTCCGAAGTTTAAAGACTCATATATTGCCTTGGGATATTTGGGGTTGGCATTTAAAGTTGCTACGTACAGCACGCTGTTTTAAGAGGGATTTTTTTTTTTTTTGGGTGGTGGTGGTGTTTGTTCTGTTTTGATTTTTGGTTATTTGCTGGGTTTTTTTTATTTTTATTTTACTAGTATCCAGAGACCTGCCTATAATCATTTAATAAAAAATAATAAAGCTGTTATATTCACTGGCTGTGTTTTACTAAAACTGCTCTGCTGACCTACACGGTGATGTTAACATGATGACATCTTAACTGTAACTCCAGACCTAAAAGCAGCTCTGTGTGGGCACGCACACCACACGTACGTGTACAAATGGAGCCGCTGGGAAGGTTTTAACAACTTCACGCCTTTCATATTGTCATGCATGTTACTAATATTTCTAGACGTATAGAAAATCTGAATTTCAAACAATCCAACAAAAGGCAAAACCCAGACTGTCTTCAGTTATTTGGTTGACATGTTAACAGTGGCCTTTAAGAGAAGAAATGCAATTTTTATGTGCACGTTAAAGGGCATTGTCAACTTAAGTTGGATCCAAAAGTCTTTAGTACTAACAAAAATGTTTCAAAAAAACCCAATAATAAACAAGTTTTGAAATATGAATAATTCCCAGGCACTTCTGAAACAAAAATCTATAAACCTAAAGATCCCCATAAAATAAAAGTGAACAAGATTTCACTGTTCGAATGAAAGCAGTGAAAAGAAAGAAGGGGTTATTATATTTTTCATTGATCCAGGATATTCTCAATCAGCAGGTAAAGACAGCTTTTAAATATCATAGCCTGTAAAAGCAGGCTTAAAGAAGTCCATTTGTGAAATATTCAATATCATTCAACATTATCTAGAAAGAATACTTGGGAGTCTGTTCCCCCCACCGCCTCACCCACGTGCATTTCCTTGCAGGCATTTGACAGCATTTTCTTCAAGCGAGGATCAGTGACTGCTTCCCAGTTGCATGGATTTTCCTCACCCAGCATGAAAAATGAAAAGCTTCAAAAAGAGTTTTAAAAAGTTAAAATTATTATAAAACTACAAAAACTGGTAAGGAGACAAAGTCAGAGTTAATAATACAAAATATTTTCTAAGAAAACACCCCAGCCGGCTCAGTTTTAAGTTGACAGCATCCTTTTAATCCTTTCCTCCCAAGAATCTGATACTTGCTTGCAAAGTGCCTGTCACCAGAAATGGATATATGCATTTTTAATTCCCAGAAATTGAAACGTGAGCCTTAATCTAGACACTCCCAGGTTTACTCAGTCAACTTTCGAACGGTAAAAAAATCAAAGCAACCCTCTCAGAGAGTTTTATTTTCTAGACAATCAAAAAGCTCCAGAATGCTCCAAGATCCACAAATATAGTTAAGTCACTTCTACAAATAAGGTTCGGTTTATAAGAATTTGTCATTTAAACTAGACTAAAGGACTTCAGTTATGAAACCGCCTTACAAAACATCAGTAAATTAAATAACCACATTTTGGAAGATTTACAAGGTCTTGCACCGAGAGGTTAAATGCACTACGAATACCAGTGCAGCATGTATTCCCTTAGTGAAATACAGTGCTATTATGTGCAAAAGTACGTTAAAACGTATACTCCTAAACAAAGTCAATTACGCAGAGCTAAGACTTTTAAGATATGTAGTCTGCATGGCCTTTAAAAAACTTTGAGAAAGAGATTATATTAGAAATAACTTTCCTAAAAACATTATTTCTGATTCTTCACTGAGCACCGTATGAATATTTTAAAACAGCTACATCGTTTTCTCAAAGCTTGTAGAGGCTGGATCTACAATCAAAGATTTCAGGAAAAACATCCAAAAAACAAAGTGGAAAGCACAGCAAACAGATTCACATGAACATCTGATCACAAGAATGTGGATAAACTACATCCTCTTCTAAATACAAAGGCTGAAGGACTCCATTGAAAACAAAGCAGCACAACATGACAGTTCAACAGGAAACCCCAATTTTGGTGATCACTTCCAATCCGGACCGTGAACGGCGTACCCCCCACCCGCACCCCTTACCCAGCGCTACACAAACCGTAACACAGCTCCATTCTCTACGCACAAGACACACAAGAACAATCTCTAAGACCAAGGAAAGCAGGTTGAAGTAAAATTGCTGAAGGTCTCTGCAGTCAGTCCTGCAGCTCTTATTACATCCGGACTTTCGCAAGAGGTTCATTTTCCCTACTCTGAATGTCTTCACCGTTTCAGAGTTAGCTAGCCCGCATCTCAGCACAGCTCAGCTGTGTGAGAAGCTGAATCTTCTGATGCTTTAATTGTGGCATACTAGCCAGAACCACGCTCAGCTGATACTCCACGTCTAGTGGCCCCTACCAATATTTACAATGAGGTGGCATCTTCATGCTAGAATGACCAGAAATTGGGATGCCTGGTCATTAAATATCATTTTGGATCCCTATTTACATTCTTACCCCACTTTCATTAGCGAGTTACTCTCCCAACAAACACAGATAATCCGTGACGCTTTTTCAGGTGTTCTCAGGTGCAGAAGTCCATCCTTTACCAGATAGATACCAACAAAAAAATACCCTCTGATGTCGGATGGACTCAACAAAAATAGAGTAGCAGTCCAAAAGACTAGCCCTGGTAGGCTGGAGGTGGCATTTTCAAATGTGCCAGCAAGATTGACAAGCCCATGTTTTGCTCAGATTTTCAAAAGTGCTTCTTGAAAACCACAGCAGGATCTTCAAAGGAGCTCGGCTCCAAATCTGGCATCTACACTAGTTGTCTCTTTGACGGTCTTAATTTAGACGACTTAATTTAGATGACAAGGGCTACAGAGCCCTGAATTTTTTAAAGATCTTGTCCTAGTGAGATTTTTTGATGATGATGATGTGTGTCACTATGATACTGTTCAGCTATTACAAACTCAAATTTACAGATGACCTGGAATATGGACTACCGAAAGCTTATGCAACTTCAGTTATAGAAAATAAACGCAGCGCGTGATGCCAGTATTGTCTTGCGAAGGCAGCGCTCATCAAGAACTTAGACCAGACCTTTTCAAAACAAGTCTCTACCTTCTGCTGTTTGCAGGAATCACTATTCAAGTGACTTGTTTAAAAAGGAGCTTGTTTCTTCTTTCCGCATCCTACCTGATCTGGCAATGAATTCTTAACTGTATTTGTGATATCAGAATCACCTCTCACAAGTAAATTGCGACATCGCCGTAGGACCACTGTTTCACTCTAGGATGAAGCAGACAGAGAAGCGGAATTGTTCTTTTTCAGTATGCAAAATAAAAGCACAAGGTATGCAAACACCCCCCCCCCCCACCTGGTTAAATCAGAGGGCTCTCTGTTTTTTAGGTTCCATCTAACGTTTGCTGAGTGTAAAGTCTTTACACTAAAAACCTCAAGTAGCTCTGTCTTGTTAAGTGGGAGGAACTGCTCACCCTTCATCAGCCATGTCTGTCCACGGGCTTCTGATCTAGCACTTACTCCAGCTAGAAAGGCTCATACAATTTGCCTTTCCATGAAACACTTAGGAACAACATAGTAAAGAGGCATTAACAGTCTTATTTCACAGTATATTTCAGTTTTGTCTCTTCGTTAGGAAACAGAAGGCTACCCATAAGCAAGCAGGCTTTCTGTTGGTGGTGCATTTTCTTCTAAAGCTTCCCAGCTTGATTTTTGATAGCTTATATCAACTTGGTACTGGAAAGGTAAAAAAAAAAATCTCACCTCCTCTGAAAGCCAACCTTTATCTAGCCCAGCAAAGAAACATGAGGTCCACACTGAAGTTTTTTAAGAAAAAAAAAAAAGCAACAAACAGTACTCAGATAAATTCCCACAACATAAACCATCAGAAGGATCACCAAAGACTAAAAGAAAATACAAGTAAAAGAGAAAGAAAAGGATTTGCATACAAAGAGGCTAGTAAAAATTTCTGAGGTTTCCTACCCAATTGCTTCAGAAAGGTATGCAGAGCTGGTTCCTATGCATAGCTCAGATATTTATATTTAACTGCTCCTCAGCTACACCAGCTGTGAATCTGGCCATTTAATCCACCAGAAGCAGAATTCCCAAGTAACCTGACTGACAGCTTTTAACTTCTGCTGTAAAAAGCTGAAGAAAATTGGGCAGTTTGCTTAATCTATACTGAGAGACCAGGACACTAGACACCATAATGTGTGCTTAATATTTCTTAAGCCAAGACTACTAATGTCTAAATGACATTAAAGACACATCTGAAGATCTGTAGTCCAAGCTCTTGAGAGAGGAAGATGCAGTAAAAACCATCGGAAAGAGAAGCTCGTTCTCTACATACCTGCAATTAAGGACACGTGAAATTTATTTATTCTTACTGTCTGTGCTTTCAGCAGCAGCATGTTTTTTGTTATCCTGGTTTGCCTGCCCTGGTTTCCAGGTCAAATCCAGTCTAAGCAAACACTTAAGGTTTACAATTTAGATAATACTGTCCTAATACAGAAGGATCATAATTTAGTTTAGAAAAGTCCCAAGGTAATGGATGAAAACTACATTTCCTTTAATGTAATCTTCAGAGAGAAGATGGTGCCCCTTTCACATTAAGGACCACGACAGCATTATTTGAAGAAACCTGTTATCGAAACAAGCCAGAGATGTTCCGTTCCACCTGCAAAATCAAAACTAGGAGGCAGACACACCACTGGAAATTGCTCAAGTACGACCTCTCTGAACCCCAGACAGAGGATTCTTCACAGATTTCTGGTGCACAGCACTGAAAGCTTAAAAGTATTAAAAATTCCAATTCTCCCCACTCTTCTATTAAAAAAAGGGAATAAAAACCAGCAGTCTCACTAACTGGGCAAATACAGAGTTTCCTGTTGCAGACTGACCGCTGCCCAGGAGACACTTTAAATGCTCCCCCCTCTCCTCTCACTGCTACATAAGTGTTTCTCGATCTGATAAGCTCCTGTGGATTTCCTGCTTGTCATCGCCATCGGCGTCGTCATCATCAGCTGGATCGTTTTCCTCTCCCGACTCCACATAGATGGGCCAGTCGTTATCAGCATCCCCTTTCTCTTGGCCTTCTGATGAAGGTTCCATTAGGCTGAGGTTAATGGGCATGGAGTCCTCATGGGTTGTGGTCACACAGGTGCAGCTGTCGCACAAGCCAAAGCGTCGTAATCCTTGAGACAGGCTGCTCGTGAACGTTCTCCTGCAACCTTTACAGATAATGGGCTTGTTTGATCGATGCACCTGAAGTTAAAAATAAAACACTATGGTAAAAAAGGCGATCTGCCGCCTTGCTTTAGCTCCTTCTGGGCCGCTGGTTTGCATATATTCCTAGAACAGAAAACATCTACACTTAAGCCGAAGGGCAGATGATCCCATCGCATTTCCAGCGACAAAGATTTGGGGCTACATAAGTATTAATGAACTTCACTGAACTATCAGCAGCTTAAACTTATTATTAAAAAGTTTCTCTCACATTGGCAGCAATCGTTTTGTCCGAGATATTTTGGGAAATACAATCGGGAAAGGTGCAAAACTGTTAAAAATTTACCAATAGATATAATATTTCAAACTTACACTTAAAGCATGACTCCGAAGGTGTTCCTGCCGAGTGAAACGTTTCCCACACGTCTCACAGGGGTAGGGTCTCTCACCTGTGTGAGAGCGAATGTGC